GCTTTTGCTGGTTTTTTTTTTAGATATAGTGATCTTATAGGGATTAGGGGTTCAGATATTGTTTTTAATGACACGCACGTTTGCATCACTATCCGAAGCAGTAAAAATGATCAGTACAAGAAAGGCAATAAAGTTCACTTTGCCAAAACGGGTAATCGTACTTGCCCCGAAGCTAAGTTAATTCAGTATTTACAGGCAGCTGAGATCCAAGTGGGTTCTGATGTTTTTATTTTCAGGCCTCTATACTATAGGAAAGAGGGGTGCTCATTGATCCGGGTTCGTGAAATTATCAAAAGCAAATTTGTCCCTGGTGGTGGGGGACGTATCCGGGTTTAGTACCCATTCCTTCAGAATAGGAGGCACTACAGCAGCCGCACATGTGGGCATATCCGATCGATATATGATGAGGCATGGCCGTTGGAGATCTGATAAGGCCAAAGAGGGCTATGTGAGAGACGATAAGGAAGCCATGCTTGGCGTTACTAAGTCCTTAGAAATTTAAAATATTTATGTTTTCAAGCTGGCGTGCTCGATTACCATGTATCATATTGTACTGAATTTTGTTTTTGTTTTTTTACATAATTCAGGTTTTCCTTGCTTTTCCCCTTCTGTTTTTTGTCTATATTAGCTCGTGGCAGCGTGACAACACACTGAATATTCGGCTGTGCCAACTTTTTTGTTAACCACTGTTGTAAAAAACAAAACATGTTATTTCTTGCGGTACGAAGTAAAGCCAGAAATAGATGTTTTGGTGGCACCCGTTAGAGGGCGCATTTGGCATACCGCATTGGCTTGTGGTAGTGTATTGTGTGACTTGGTCAGTCTAGGCGTTGCCACGTCACAGCCAGCAGCTCGTCAAGCGTGTATTTATTTTTTAATTATTTTCTAGCATTTCAAGAGCTCTTGGGTAGCATGCATTATTTTTGTCGCTTAGAATATATTAGGGTGAAATCCGCCACCCTCCCTCAGGCATGTGGCGGGTGTAGATTTCCAGGCTTATTTTTCCCCTTCATTACGTGGTTTTTTAGCCTTGGTTTTTTCTACACCGCTTTTTGCGCCGGTTACAGGGCACTTGGTGTAGTTATTTATACATTGTACTATTGTATTGTAAATAATGATCATTAATAAATGGCGATTAGCTCGTGGCAGCGTGACAACACTCTGAATATTCGGCTGTGCCTACTTTTTTGTTAACCACTGTTGTAAAAACAAAACGTAAATTCTACAAAAAGCCCCAATGAAAGTCAGTAAATCAAATAAAATACCAGAATGCATTGTAGAAACAAACTTTGTTCGTAAATGTGATAATAACAATAATATTACGTCACTCTCACCTCACCTCCGCCTCTCCCACCAGCAGAACAAAGACAAATATTAAGGAATGTATAATCATACTATAAAACGTGAAATATAGCAAATGTAAGACGTTTTTAACAATCAATGTATTTGTAGAAGAAGAGTTTAAAATGATTACAACTCACCAAAGCTGAGACATGGAAATATGACTACTTGGTGTACAAGGTAGGTTCCTGCAAGATCGACCTGCATCCAGGGCTCCTCACCGAATAGAGTAGCAAAACAACTACCACCAATCCATTCTGAGTTTGTATTACCGTCCAAGGCTTTGAATCCTGGATATGCATCATCAGACAGTTGATAAATACTGCTTTGGTTGGCTTTTTTATTGTAAGCTACGTTCTCTGGGGGTCTTGGTGTTTCTGAAATAATAATTTATGTATTATTCTAGTATTTATCGGTCTAAAGATGCATATTATCCACTCATACTATAATTTTCTGCCAACGAATTCCGAGTCAGAGCCTATTTACAGATTCGGAAACGAATGAAAAGCACAACGCAATATAATACATATGATTTAGAATAAGTCAGTTGTCCCATGGAAACCACTACTATAAGTGAGAAGTTGGATTATAATTGTAGTTTCATTAGAATTGTTGTTTTTCAAGTAGGAATTATTGTTTGGCAAGTAGGAATTAACTTTAATTTTTAGAGATGAGGGTAGAGCAATATGAATAGTATTGTTCGTGCTACACGAACTACGGGCTAACATTTAAGCTAATCTGATATCTTTACATATCGGATACACTCAAATGGGTTATAGGCTAAGGAACGCCCAAACTTAATGTGTATATAAAAAATCTTCAGTTATTTTCATTATGATTATTATTACAGTGACTAGGAAGGTATAGGTGTAAGTTCCACGGTTATAAAACAATACCAAAGCGAGTTCTGAAAGTGAAGATTGCAGAATAACACAAGTAGCAGAGTCACAATCTGTATGTGTGTTCGCGTTGATTGTCATGTCGGAAATGGCATGCTGGTATGTAGCTGCCTTATGATGGGTCGACGAAGTGATAGTGTCAATAATGCAGATTGGAAATTGGATTGACTGTAGATGAAGTCTATGTAGAAAATAAACCGATCACCAAAGGCTGGAAGCATTGTTTTCAAATAGTCATAGTGTACCATATCAAAACCCTTTTCTGTATCTATAGCAAAGATTGCAAGTATGTGTTAGGTTAACATAGCCAATACTGTCTCGTAAGAATCTGGCGGTTCGGCACACAACAACTCTGTTCATGATAAACTACACTACCATTGACATCACTTAATGTGATGCGCATCTCATTAAGCAATGTGTTGATTATGGGATTACTGTTGTGTTATTTATTTTATGTTTACTAGTATCTCACAATTGTCGAAGTGTGTTACACGCCTAGTAGTTCATAAACTAGACAGGTTGTGGCTGCTTATAACTTTCTGTAAAATATTACATACATAGTTGAATTGCTTGTAAAAGCAGATGATTAGGTATGAATTCAGATTTTATGGATAATATTATTCATGTATTTACTTAAGTAAAATTAGTCTATTCTGACGAGTACGTCCAATTAAAATTATGGCGGAAACCACCATTCAATTTAATACATCGCAGTATATCTCCATGTAGACGAGAAGTGTGAGGATGTGGTTTGACTTCACTGTTGCGGCCAATGTTAAGAACAATGGTGCAGTTAAAACAATAACAGGAAAGAATACATTAATTATATGCACTGGTTTATTTTTTAGTTTAACATGTGTGTAGATAATGTGATTTTGTATAACACTCAGAATTGCGACTTTGATATTTGTAGTCACGCCACCTCTGGATTTATCGCACACAAATTCACACTTTCCACATCAGACAGCTTACCAATAGGTTTCGACATTGGGCATTGTGTGCATTTCTTGAAGCAGACGTTAATTGAAAAAAGTCCTTTTTAATTACTCAAAACTCTGGTTCAGTTTGAATGATTAATGATTCCATTAATGATGAGGGTGGCGTTTTATATGGATATCGCCATGACGACGGAAAAAATGTAACAACACATTTTGAAATTAATTTCAAAAAACATGAAACGGAATGCGAACAGGAAATTTTTAAAAACTCGCTTTATAATTCATGTTCTTTGTATTTGTTTATTTATTCTCTTTATCCGTTTCAGAATACAAGCTTTTTGCGCAGTGGTAAGTTATTTTTTGTGCGATAGTCTAATAGTTGTTTGGAAAGTGATTGTATATTAGGACAGAAACGTTAACAGTTGTCAATAAGCGTTTTTAGTTCATTGTGGATTTAAATTGAGTATTTTAATAAATTATTTAAATTAGTTGTTCCGAATTGGCCATTTCTCACTTCTCAGGAATATCTTACGCAACAGAATCAAGTACCATCGGCAACGCATTTTCTATAAGCAAGTTCTTTTAAACTAAACGTTGGTTGGTCCGGTAAAGTGAAAAACATACCTGTGAGGAGGGGGGTCTGCCTAAACAGAAACATTCAATGGCAACCATGGCCGAGTGCAAAACGTAGTGACATGTATTTTATGACCAGCTTGTAATCACTACGCACTAACCATTATGATACATGGATTGCGCCCTCTAGTGAGTAATTTACCTGTGCTACACAGTTAAGCGTATGAAATCTAACTGTCTAACATGTTAGCGCATTCTTCCCAAATCAACTGCAAAATGTTTTTTCACCAATAGATAGAAATGTTTTCAATTTTACTGGCATTGCTTCCATTTTTTCATTGATTATGCTATTACTTAGATAAGGTTCTTCGTCGTTTGGCGTGCAGACCTGGGTAAAAACTTCTTTGCAGTTGTTTCGGTAATAGAAATATATATTTACCTCATTGTATACTCAGAGTGATAACATGGAGTAGCACGCAATTACTCAACAGCAATCACTTTTTTCACGGAGTAAGACGGCTTAAGTCCCGCAAAACAGTACGACTTAATAACATCATTCGTAAGCTTTAATTATGACTGGGCGAAGCACAAGAGGTTCAAGAAAGAAATCCGGTAAGCAATGCGACATTGTCAGCATGGACGATTATGTAACTCTAGTGGAGAGGAATGAACACGACACTAGTGCAGGTGGGGAGAAAAGCACATTTGAACAATTCGTGCGTCAGACAATGCTGCGTTTTGAAAAGATTTTGAAAGCGAGCAACATGCCAATGAGAACGAGTCAACTTGATTGAAAATAGATGTAAGGATTTAGAAAAGGCCTTGGA